TACGCCTGTGGCTCACTGGTCGTTTCTTCGCATCGTGCCAATAACATCTAGGAGTAAAAAAACCGAAAACCCCGCCGAAAAAACTGAACTTGTGGCGGAAAATAGGGTTTGTGGGCGGGACAACTGGGGAGGCGTCACAACTGCCACTTATGAGGGCCGCAGCTCCATTCACTACTGATAGTGAAGCCGCGAAAGTGGGGTAATCTTAGAGACTGAGGATGGGAATACTTGCACACAGTAGGCCTACGAATTGCTTGAGCCTGGAGACTGTATTTGAGCTGTTTTCCAAGGCTCTTTCATTCGCGACCCCGACGGTTATGAAGCTGCGAAGTCTGGGCAAAAATAGGATCAAGAAACTCCAGCTTGAGATGTACCATGAAATTCTGACAGCCGAACCTACCATTTTCAGCGCGAGATCTCCAACTTTGACTACTTGATGTTCTTGAATACGGTGGCTGGCCGGACATTTAACGATCTGAATCAATATCCAGTGTTTCCATGGATTCTAACAAATTATTCGGCGGAACAGCTTGATCTCAACGTTGCCGCCAATTTCAGGGACTTGTCAAAGGTAAATTGTTTGCGGAGTTTTGACTGCAATCAGCTATCAGTCAGGTGGCTTTGTTTTTATGAGTTCAGCTTGGCAAAGCTTTCACCTGATTGGCGCGAGCTGCGGCGACAGCTGTATATCTGCACTTTTTGTCGATCATTTCAGCCTATCGGCGCGTTGTCCGAGTCTCGTCGGAAGTACTTCCAAGAGCGCTATACGTCATGGGAAGACGAGGCGATTCCGGCGTTCCACTACGGAACGCATTACTCAACGCAAGCATTCACCCTGAATTGGCTAATGAGAGTGGTGAGTCTCGAATAATACAATACAAATGCTGAAAAGTGTTGTAGGCCTGGTTGAAGACTGGGATGTTAGAAGAGAAAAAATAGAAAGAAAAGTTTTGAAACTAGTCCAACAGACACGCTCTTATGGGAATTCATGCGGACTGTAGAGATAGTGTGGCACTAAATCTCAATTTATGTGGACAAAAAAGAGGGCTACGGCGGGTTACCTGTTGATATTGCTCGCATTATCTTGTACCATAGTCCCAGTATGAAGCTTTGCTATTCAGGAGCCGTTCACTACAATGTTCCTCGATATGCAAAACGGCCGATTCGATCATCCAGATCGAGTTTTTCACAGCATCGCCGAAACATGGGACCATTGTCAGAAAGATTCTCATGATGTCAAGGTAGAGTAGCCACAAATAAGTTAATATCCAGTGTTTATCGTTGACGTAGT